ATTTTAAGTCACCTTCCAGCCCCTTTGAAAGTTTAATGGGCCCCCCAGAGGGTTATGGCCCCCTGGCGGCCCTAGAACTGACAGGAAGAAAATTAAATCTTTATTTGGTCAATATACAATGGCACATTCATTTTGTACGACTAGCACTGGTAATAACAATGGGGTGTTTCCAAAACTGGATAAAAGGCAAGCATCAAGAGAGTCTTTGTAGCAGTCAGACCTGACCCCTGGGGCTACCATTAATCTTCAACTACGCTGTGCAGGGACTTGGCCCCGCCTCCCGTGACCATATATGGTCATTACCACAAGTTCAGTTCTTCGTCCTCCATCTCACCTGTTTTGGAAAGCCACAAGAAGGCGCGGGTCAAGAATGTTTTCCTCGGGTTCCCTTGGTGTTGGTGTTCTCAACAGCGCCATTCTCAAGGCCTTCTGAAGTTTCACCATCAGAAAGATTGTCCGTTTTATTCAGTGTAGGTTCCTCATTGTGCTGCGTTTCCACTTCAGAAACATCCTTGTTTTTAACTTTAGATGAATGCACACCTTTGTCCATGTATTTGCTCATTACAATCACAATCCGTCCGTTTTTGTTTTTGTTCTTGATTATTTTCATCTTGCTGCTGATGCCGTTAGGAAATGCAAACTCTTTGGCTCTCGTCTTGAGTGCCCGCTCCGATTTGTTAGCATTATCCGGCAGGCCCTTGTGCTCGATAGACAGATCTTTCACTTTACTCAGGCAGGCGGTGTCTTTGTTCTGAATCCACTTCTGTTGCAAGGCTGGAGGGAGGTTCCAAACTTTGCTGGAAGGGTCTTGAACCTTGACCTCTTTAGGTCCCGTGAGTGGCGTGTCGTACATCTTGGGGTCTGGCTGGTAGTGATGATGTTTCTTGCTGTTCAGCTGGTAGAAGTGCTTCTTTTTCACGCTCACATGTTGTTCTACGGAGATCTCCCTGCAGCTGGGCTGGTACTGGTGGTGTTTTTTGCTGTTCAGCTGGTAGTGCTGCGGCCGTGGGCAGTGGAGCTGAAGGGGATCCACTTTGGGCTGGTTCTCCTCATCCAGTGATGTGTCCTCAAGACCACCCAGGATGCTTGATCTACGAGCAAACGCAGGAAGCTGGAACAAAGAGAGAATATGTATTGACTTCTCAAAAGAACTGAAAGTTCATCATTTGTTGATTATTTTACAGCACATTTAGCTTTACTCTAGAGATAATAATGGGCTTCAGTATGGGTCTTACTATGTTTTGAGCTTAGAGATGCCATTCTTATGAATTTTTTATAGGTAAAACATTGAAATCAACTACAGCAGTCCATAACGGTCATCATCAAGTACATTAAGATGCATGCAGACAGTAAGGAGCCATTGGCATACAATTATTGATTTATAATGAAATGGAAGTTTTATTCAGACCATGCACAGGAATAACCTAGGTCATAACAAGCAATACTTTTGCAAAAAATATTGCCAACTTATGTACTGAATGGAAGATAAAAACTGCAATTGGAATAACAAAATACCTGGACAAGGGGGTGTTTGGGTTTAGGCCCTCTTTTGCGATATCCCACCATTTGCTCCTGCCTTTCTCTGAAAACGATGCATAAAATATATACATAAATTCACTATTTTCAACACAACACATTGGATATTCTCAATACTGTTGGGTTTGAGAACAACTAAAGCTGCAGTGTTAAAATGCTTAATGGACCATTCATTAAACCATTCATGTGTAATAGAACCAATATCCTCGTTCACTCTTAAAATGAAAGGTTCTTTATTAGCATCTACGGTTCCATTAAGAACTCTTAACATCCATTGAACCTTTCCATTGTACAAAAGGTTCTTTATAGTGCAAAAGGTTCTTTAGTTTATTAAAATGTTCTTCACACCAAGAAAATGGTTAAGAATTTTCAACGAAATGAACCCTGAATGGTTCTTCTGTGGCATTGCTGTAAAAACCTTTTGGAACTTTTAATTTTAAGAGTGTACTTATTAGTGCAACATTCAGATCACAAGCCACAGTCGATCCCTTTGATCAGCAGGTTACAACCCAAAACAAGAGCACAATGGGTAACATGACACTCTCAATCTTCTAGTGCAGCTAAACCAGTGAGCCCAACTTAAGAAACATCTTGCGAAAACTGCTATCTAAACGTAACAATTCTTTTCCTTGAGTTTCTGGAATGCTTTGATACTCATTATACTTTTATCTTCAGAACAGAACAGTGCGCTCAGAGAGGGGTGTGTGAACATCACAAGACCACTGACACAGCTGATTAGATCGTAGACATGAGTGTAGGGGGGTATGTCCACTTGTGAGAGAACACTGCTACTGATGTATTTTTCCATATATGAATGTATGAAATTATTTGATCCAAGTTGTTCTAAAGCTTAGTTATTTTCAGTGCTGCTATCAAACTTTTTGACTCAAGACAATATTAAGTCTGTTTTTCTTCTGAAACGAGGAATGCAAGTATATTAAAATTAATATTTGCAATTAATTTTGTGATTACAGAAGTTTTGTACGACTAGCACTGGTAATAACAATGGGGTGTTTCCAAAACTGGATAAAAGGCAAGCATCAAGAGAGTCTTTGTAGCAGTCAGACCTGACCCCTGGGGCTACCATTAATCTTCAACTACGCTGTGCAGGGACTTGGCCCCGCCTCCCGTGACCATATATGGTCATTACCACAAGTTCAGTTCTTCGTCCTCCATCTCACCTGTTTTGGAAAGCCACAAGAAGGCGCGGGTCAAGAATGTTTTCCTCGGGTTCCCATGTGTTATATCTGTAATATTGACGAGAGCATATGAAAATGTAATAAACCATATAGTAAATTCAACGCGGGTTGAGATAAAATATAGAATTTGTACAGATTACCGCGCGACCAAAACACATGTGTAGCCTATTTATAATGCAAACAAATAAATATGTGAGCATATTTCATTACATACAGTAAAATGTCATCACGATGACATTCACTCGCGTAAAATTTGTGATGGAATCCGCAAAAACCAGCCTAGCGCAACCGATGTAGGATTCCGGACGTTCAAGAACAACATTGATCGGCATTTACTGTTAATGTGCCTAAAAATAACGCATATAAACCAATTAAACACTTACTTGGCTGACCATCCTCGCCACTTCACCAGATACTCGATTCTGCCCTGAAAAATGACGAAAATGCGTTGGGTACAGAAACAACAAATATATTCTCCGCACCATTAACGGCACGTTCGTTCTAGTTTGCGGCAGTTTTACCTTCCGTAGGCGCTTCTTTTCGATGCCCTCCACCGCGAACACATGCTCCCCGACGGCAGGTAGATCCATTCTGTCTCCGCCGCCCGTTTCAAGCGAACGAGCAAAATAATATCTTCGCTGCAACGCTTTGCCGTCTCGCGCTGTGCCACCGCTGTGGCCCAAGATTAATTTGTCCCTCACCCCTCCTCTTTCCCCCTCTCCCTCGTATTTGTCTCCACGTTAAGCGGCAGGCACTGGAAAAGCTCACTGGTGCTGCTACTACAGAAAATAGTTAATGCAATAATAAGCCAAGGCAGGCGCGTGACGTCAGAGCGCGAGGAGGGGGAGGTTGAGAACTGTGCCAAATGCTGAATATAAAGCTGTAGTGTGTGTGTGTGTGTATAAACGGTGTTTGCTCTCGGTAATTAAGAACTTGGAAATATGTATGAATACAGCTTGCTATGGCCTAAAATCTCACCTAACATGTTATCATACCATATCTATCTATCTATCTATCTATCTCTGACGCGATTGAGTCGCAAAATCACATTTAGATGTCATGCATTTCATACCAAAAAATTACCAAAAATTTTTGTTTTTTTCGATGTATAATGTATTGGAAACAGGTTGTGATCATCTCTACATCTGCATTTTATACTTGAAGCAATTCTGGTCCGTTTTCATTAAAAAAAAATAGTAAAATATAAAAACTATACGGGACGTCAAAAATACTCAGGAACCAGAGACTAATCACCTATATTTACACCTCTAAACATGTCATGTAAACGAGTTGTTTTATTAAAGGCACCTTTAAAGCGTACTTTAGCCAGTACAGGTAAATTAACCACTCGTTTACCGCAGGCAGCATAGGCTACATTAGCTTTAACATTGCTGACAGGAACCACATAGAGACAATACCTGTATACAACAATAAATCTATCATGTAAAGGAGTTCTATTAAAGGCTCCTCAGTTTAACGCCAGAAGGTCGCTTACCACCAGCATAGCGTAATAGCTGAAGGCATTAACACCTACAATGTATTCGGTATTATAGCCTATAAAATGAGGCAAACTTTCGCACAGCTGTGAATTTTAAATCGTAGGCCATTCCCTAAAACGCAACATGTACAGTACACCAATATATACACATTTATCTTTATGATTATTACCAGCGAATAAAATTCAGGAACTAAAGGGTTAAAATGAGGTTGGCGCGTCAACAGCCAATCTAATCTCCATATATGGCCATGAAAAAGAAAGCGCAAATATATCTGGTTCTTGAGGTTTTATTACATTCATTACATACACACTGCAATGTTCACACAAAAACACAATATGTCACACATTATTTGGACGAAAATTGTGTTTTGATGAAGAGAAATTGATCCTCGCGCTGCATTTCTCTTCAGAGGAACACACCCTGCTGCGGAAGAAACAGAAAATGGTTGAATATATTAACGACGGAGATTGGTTGCTCTACACCTGCTGTTATATCGATGACAGGTAGTTGAAGTTTAATTGTTAGTAATATGAATTTAAATTTAACCCTATAAAACCCCCTCACCTCATATCTTTATATATCCAGCACAACATGCATTAGAAAATAAATACATATCCTACAACTTCTACTGCAATGCTACATTCAATATTTAATCTCATTTAATCAACAGCATGCAGTAGTTAACATGACTATTAACATTTTCAGTACTGCAGCAGAATCCGAAACACTTTAGAAGCTGCACACTTTCATCCATCAAATTCAGTGCTGTTCAACACTATACTTCAGATTCAATATGAAACCATTCTCTCAGATATTGCTGTTCAATCTCAAGCAAGACAGACCAGAATTTTTTGTGTTATCAGTGAGAGTTGAATCTGAAAATGCTTCACTTTGTATCAAAAGCAGTAAATTACTTAGTATTCAAAAAGCAGAATTTCAAATTTGTATATCTGAATATGTATTTATGAAACAATATCCAGATGACACTGCTTCTACTGAGATTCTTATGTTTGTAACTTCAATAGACACTTTGCCAACCCATAAGACCACAGTCAGGCACTCATGAAATGCCACATTTGAAAAGCTGTGAAAAAAATGCAGAAAAAAAATAAAAGTTTGGAATCTGTTCCATGAAGAACCTTTAACATTCAGAACCTTTCCATTGGACAAAAGGTTCTTTATAGTGGAAAAATGTTTGTTTTTTAGATCATTAAAATGTTCTTTACACCAAGAAAACAACTATTTCTTTTAAGAACTGTCCACTGAAAGGTTCTTTTGAAAATCTGAATGGGTTATTCTATGGCATCGCTATGAAATAAAAACCCTTTTGGAACCTTTAGGTTTAAGATTGCAAGTGGATCTTTTCAAGTTATAGGGACCAAGAAAGTTGTTCCTCTCGGTTGAATTGCACTTTTTTCACAAAACCTGAGTAAATTACTTTCATACGTCACAGGTCAAATAACCAAAAGTCCAAAGAACAATACCAACATGGCAGATCCAGTATTCCTGGGAATATATTTATACTATACTATGAGAAGTAAGTTCTTAATCAAATTCAGTGCACAGGAATTCCGGACACAGCTCATGATAATGACAATGACCTTAACCATTTCAAGAGTGCTCTGGTTGGCAGCAAAAGACAGTTGACTGGATGGAAACCTCTCAAAGAGATCTTAAACTGTGATTGTTGCAGAGCTTTTCCATGTATGGAAACTCATTCACAGAACACCCAAAATAGGGCTTCCACATATTGAGTGCCAGGCAGCTAAGCGCTAAAGAAAGAAAGGGATTGAAAGAGAGAGAGAGAGAGAGAGAGAGAGAGAGAGCAGTGTGTGCCAGACTATAAGTGTAACCTTCTTTGCCCAACCAAGCGTTGCATTTATTCTGCTATAAAGGGTCATGGAAGAGGATTGGTCGAGGGCTGGAAGAGTATTAGAAAATGTTAAGAGGGGCCTACAGGCAGTCTATCTCAGTGGGAGCTCATTAAATTCCAGTATCCTAATGAGCTGATATCAAAACCGCATGCATGACAGAAAATACATGTCTGAAGTTATATGAGCCTTCTTTACAAGAGCATTCAAAAATGGTGCTATATTCAATGATTATCAAGATTTACCACATAACAAGCCTTAAGAAAGAAATGTGATTACATCAGAAAGTCATTTCCAATTTATTCTTCATAGCTGCAAAGCATTTCACGTGCAGTCAGAATGCATCCCCCTGAGCTGTGAGCTTCAAATTCCATTATTTTTCATGATTGGTCAGATAAAATATAGTGTCTCGGTTAATTTTCTGTCTTTTATCAATTATTGAGATGCGCTCTCTGTGTCATTGTTATGCACATTGCTGGTAGGAGTGTCTGCTCATCAGAAAGTACTACTGCATGCCGCTCCTCTACCCCCAGAGAACATGAAGGGGGTTGGGATTGTCGGCTGAGGGGGAGGGGGTCCAAAATAGACAGCGGAGTTCCCCAGGGTGCAGAGGGATCCGGCAGGACTGCGGTGGCTGACCTGTCAATACTATATCACGCAACGAAGCATGCTGTCTTATCCATCTATGTACACTGATTGCCTTTAGTCTAAAATACTGTATACTGGCAGTAAAGATATATAGAGAGGAGGGACAGCTGAATATGAGCTGGTGTGGCAGGCATCAAAGCCGCTGAGCAGCATTTATGGGAAATTAATGCTGGCAATTTCACACCTATAGAAAATATCTCATGTTTCTCCTATTCAACAAGTGGTTAAAATGGAGACAATTGCTTAAAATGATAGTTCACCCAAAAATAGTCATCATTTACTCACCCTCATGTCATTCCAAACTTGTATGACCTTCTTTCTTCTGTGGAACACAAAAGAAGATATTTAGAAGAAACAGTTTCGGTTCCCATTTGTTTCCATTGAATGGACAAAAAAACAATGGAAGCCAATGGGAACCAAAACTGTTTGGTTACCAATATTTTTCAAAATGCCTTCTTTTATGTTCCACAAAAGGAAGTCATACAGGTTTAAAATGGCATGATTTTAAACACTATTTTAATTTTAGTTTGGAATATCCCTTGTAAGTGACCATCATGTCATTCAAAACCAAAAGGAAGTTATTGTGAAAAAGTCTGTTTTGTCCATACACTGAAAGTCAAAGAGACCAAATGTTGTTTGGACCCAAATGTTCTTCAAAATATCTTCTTTTGTGTTTCACAGAAGAAAGAAACGCAGGTTTGTAACGACATGAGGTAAATAAATAATGACAGAATTTTTATTTTTGGCTGAACTACACTCGTAAAAATAAAGGTTCCAAATGGGGGTTTTCATAGCGATGCAAAAGAAGAATCATTTTGGGATCTCCAAACACATATTTAAACGAACTGTGCTTAAATAGATTTTTTTTTTCTCAGTATGAAGAACATTTGAATAATCTGGAGAACCTTTTTACACTATAAAGAACTTTTGCGCAATGTTTCCATGGATGTTAAAGGTTCTTCATGGAACCATCGATGCCAATAAAACCTTTATCTAACTTGCCTTAGATGTTTGTCCTGAAAAATACACTGAAACGCATGGTAACATCTAAATGAAATGGTCTTGTCTAAAATATTATTTGACATTACTGAATCAACATGAAAACACTTACAGTAGAAATAGCTGATATTTTCAGGTTACCAGTTTGTACATAACCCATATATGTTCAAGAGTTTCAGAAGGACAACAACGTCTCAAACTTTCCTCAGGTTTGCCAAGACCTCAAAGCCTGCAATTAAACTCAGCGTTCTCAATATGATCTCAAACATTTCTCATCAAAATCTCACTAGACCAATCCATTCATTTTACAGTTCTTTACCCATACAGCATGACAATAATTGTCTCAAATGCACTTTGAATTCTTCTAAGGAACTTCTGGAGAAACCATGAAAGCAAAGTTGACACATAAATAAAACATCTCCATTAAGTCTCCTGCAACTTCTGAGGAATAAAATGTTCCCCTGGAAAGTGTCATGCAAATCTAGATTGGCATGTGTACACGGGTGGAGTTGGTTTTGCCCTTCTCTTCCATGTCTCTCGGGAAAGACAATCTCACTGTTTTCCTTTCCATTTTAAATCTGATTTTCCTGGCAGCGGAGCTTAAGGTATCCTGCATCCACCTCAGCCTTGACAGCCGACTATTCGGTCTCAGGGTCATTGCGGCTATTTCACACAACAGCCTTGAGGTCTTGGTACCCGATAACCATTAAGCCGATGTTACAACATAGCGCGTTCACTTGGGCAGATGAAACTAATCACACACATAATAAAACGACGATCGTGGATGTGCCAGGGAAGATGAAGCATATTAAAA